AATTCCCATTTTTTTTTTTTTTTTTTTTTTTATAAAATTTTTTTTTTTTTTTTTTTTTTTTTTTTTACCTCTGTTGTGATCTGTCTCACTGTATGTGGTGACAAATTAAATGTGGATTCAGCCCAGTGGCTTCCAATCCCATTTTGAAGAGTGGCAAAAAGAAATAGACTTCTGTCATATTTGCACTTAAAGGAAAGTGTAAATATGAAGTCATTGGTTATTGAATGTATTTTGTAATTTTTATTAACCTTAAAAAAATGCTTCGCTTTCATTCATTGTCATATAAATTGTTTGGATTTTCAGCTATTGTGTCCCCAGGGATTTTGCTAAAAATATTTCTCAACGTTGAATTTTTCCTCCTCTGAATAAATGTACTTGTATTTACAAGTTGATTAAATATTTATTTGATCAGCCTGTTAAAGATTATTTTAAGGTTTTCTATACTTTTTTTGATCAGGTCTGACAATAGATGTTTGGAGCATTGTTATGCCTTGTAAGAACAAATTGCATTGATTTTCTTTGGACTAAAAAGTAAATACTTTATCTCAAAGACGTCCTGTTTTATTCACAGGTTACCCAGGTTCCTATTGAATCCTGTGAGCAGTATGGGACCTGTGGAGAGTGTCTGAGCTCCGGAGATCCCCACTGTGGCTGGTGTGTCCTGCATAATATGTAAGTATCCACCAGTCACCGTCATATTTGTATGGAAATTCCTCTTCCTGGAAGATTTAGCTTGACGTCTCTATTTAAGTGTTCTGAAGTTTTCCCTCACAGAGAGCATAAAGGTTATTTGTCTCAACATTTATTTCAGATTTAATGGAGCTTGAGAAAAGCAGACAGCTCCAGCCTGGAAATGGACAGCTGCTGCCTCAGAGGTGCAGAGCTGGTTTAAAGCTACTTTAGCAGCTGTGTAGGTTCACACCGCTCTGACATGGTTTTTAAAGAAAGTGATCTCATTCAGTTTATAAAACTATTTCAGTTTCTAAAAAAACAAGATGTAGAAGACTTATAGAGATGTCCACTTTAACAACTTGTCATCCACAGAAGTCTGAACAGTGAGAAAGTTTGGGGTCTATACCTCCTGCTTCAAGGATAAGCATAACAGCCATGAGTGACACCTGCTGGGGCTGAACACTTACTACAAGAAAACTGATCTTAGGCATCCATGCGAAAGACAAAAAATGGCTATAGTAGATAACCATGTGTTTGATATGCAGATTGAAAAATACTATTGATGCATTTTTATATTTACATTTAGATTATTAAATCATGAAAAAAGGGACATAAAGTAAATTTAACACAGCAGTAAAACAGTCATTGTTTATGTTCCTCTTTGTCTCTAGCATGCAGAGATTCTCTTAGCTGCTCCGTCTTAAATCCATTGCTTACACCCCCCCACTCCTACCCAGGTAGAGCTGGATATTTGCGTGTGTCACAGTGGCGCTGCAATTATCATTATCGTGATGGCGGGCCTGGCAAAGTGCACTTAAAGTAATTTACACCACTCCGAAGCCGGGACAGGACAAATAATTGGCTGCCGACAAGGCAATTCAGCATGAGCCTGCAAAGGAACGGGTGAGGCTGACTGAAGCGCTGTATTCCCTTCAGCGCTGCGTGCCTTCACACAGAGATCATTTACCACAACACGACCCTCCATGCGAGGTTGTTAATCACATGCTTTTGTGTAGGTGTGGCAGGGACCGGAATGATTCAAGTCCAAGGGAATCTGAATCCGCTGCGTGGAAACGGCGTCTGGATGCTAAGTGCTGAACAGGTTTAGGAACTGCCTCTGTGACAGGGAAACATCTGTTTTATGTGTGTGCAGGTTCTCGTGCAAACATGCGCCGGGTTTGAGTATGAATGTGTGTATGCAGGCATTGTGTGCGGGGTCAGTTTTGGTGTACAATTATAAGCGCTTGTGGATTGTACTGTGGGGAGAAAAGGTCAGCACCCTGATTTACGTTAGATCAGCCATCTGTTCGCTCAATAACGGGAACCTTTGTGCCACCTGTCTCTAGTCCTAATCTCCCTTTCTCCATCCTGACCCTGCACCGAATGTGGCAGGACCCCTGTCAGCTCCAGCAGAGTTACAGCAGGGAGGAAATAAAGTTACTGGAAGAATAGGAAGCTTTTATGGAGCTCCATTAGGTTGGACCCATAGACATTACCATGTGTGCAACAGCTGTGGTCTTCATTAATAACTTGAATTCACGTTTTCAGCTTTTACACGATGAATGTTCATTAAAAAACTAATAATTCTTCAAAACCATATGTTCTAAATAGACATGTGTTTCTAGATTATAAAATGAGCAGCAGAGTTCTTATCACTATGATATAAGTTGGGCTTAATGTTGAGGGGAACGGAGAAACGTATGCTGAGCCGTCGTAAGATTATCAATCTTGGTTGCACTTCTTCTGTTCTGGCGTCCATCTTGTACATTGTGGCGTAAAGCTAGTAAATCCTTAAAATGTTTGTTTAAAGATGCTATGTTTTATATCCCTATCAAAAGCTGACCAAAAAGTCAGTCATTTATGGAAAACTCAAAACAGTATTATTATTTTTATATAAAATAACACCCCATCCATACAGGAATGTGTTCTTTTCTAAAATTGCAATGTTTTCATCCATTTGTTCCCTTTTTCCACATGGAATTGACATTTTTGTTTGTTGATTTTTTTAAATGAGTTCCAGGGTAAAAATGTAATCCTTAAATACATGCAAAAAGTGAAAATGCCTCCTTTATTAAAACACTGACATATTAGCTGAACCTTTAAAGTGCTGCTCAGATATGATAAGCAGTTAGCATCTTTCTTGGAGTAGTTAACTTTTTCATTAGAAAGGTAATCAGGCTGGAAATGCTTTACGTTTCCCTTTACTTGGTTGGATTTCTCACCAAATTTAGAATACTTTGCTTATTGTTGGTAACTCATTGACTTCCCACAAGCACTCCATCTAACCCCGTTTCACAAAATAAATAAATAAATGCAAGTTGTTGTACGTGCTTGCTATTTGGTTCAATAATTATTTTCTTTGTAATGAAAAGTCAATTTCCCTTTGACTGGATTTTATTTAGACGACATAAAGTGGCTTTGAAGTGACTAGCATGTCTTACTGCAATCATCTCTGTGGCAATATTTCCCAACAAAAGTATTTTTTGAGTGAGTGGCAAAAAATGTCTCAAATGAGTTTGTGAAATAGTGTTAATAACTAAAAAGGCTAGATGAATGTGCAATAAAACTAAGAATAGAAGGACATGCCAAAGACTGCCAGGAGTAAAAAAAAGCAGCTGCATCCTTCTTGTGAAGAGCTCCCGACGCCCCACTCACCCAAAATTACATTTCTCCCCAGCCTGTTGTGCTATCCACAGCTGTGATGGCTGCTGATTCCTTCAGCCCCCCACTCCTCCCTCACACCAACCTAAAGCCATTGTTGATTTTATAAAATTATCTGTCCCTGTTCCTCCATTTTTTGTGCCTCCTTCCAAGCCCCTTTGTGAAACTGTAGGTTCTAAGCTATGCCACTCATCCCATCTCCGCTCGGCGCAGCGCAGCTTCCATTTAGGTCTCTCTCTTCCCTCTGGAGTCGGCTCTCTGACGCTCCAGAGATGGTTGGCTTGCCACACATAAATGCCCCGCTCTTTGATCACCCTCATTTTTCCTCCTGCAGCTGCCATCTGCAATATCCATCCTCTATTCCTCTAAACCCTTGTTGTGTCCTGTAAGCCTTTCTTCTGTATGTGCGTGCATGTTCACTGAAATGCGGCATTGTGAGGTTGCTAATTAGGAACATGGAAGGACATTAGTTTGATTTGAGAGGAAGATGAGGTGAGAATTTGGGGTTGCTGACCAAGAACTGGCATCTTGGTTTTATCTGTCGTTCTATTTTAATCCAGTGTGGTTTGAGCCTCCCAAAGTCCTTTAATTACCAGCAGCTGCTAGGCATCCTCTGAATGTGAGAAGAATGAGACGGCAGAAGAAGGGGCGGTGGGACTGGGGGGGGGGGATAAGAATGAGGAGAAAAGAATGTGAGAGAGGGGAGAGGGTGTTTGATGCTGCACACTCATCGGCCCACAAAACGGCGCTGCATTTTGATTGCAGCTCAAAGGGCACTCATCATCTTGAGCGCTCTTCAGCCGCAGTCCCGTGAATGTTTAGTTCAGCCTCCATCTGACCGCTGTCCAAAAAACACGGACTTATGCTGATGCTCCCCTCCTCCCCAGAGGGCTTTTTTCTCCCTCTGCCTGCATCTCGTCACTATTGGATTAGCTGTCTAATCATGGCCAAAAGGAGCTTTTCCATCTAAGATTGTCCCACATCTCTGTTCTGTCTCCGTTCTCTTGACTTGCTCCTTTAATGCGAGAGAGTATGACTGGCTTTGTTCAGATTTGTCAGGATTAGCAGCAAGTCTGACTTCAGTCCAAGAGGGCTCCAGTGTCGAGGTCAAAGGATGCACAGCAGAGAAAGTTTGCCAAAAACAAACAAGTGCATGATTAATTGTAGTGTTAAATAAATTATGTTGATCATATATATACATGTTTGCCACACACACACAAACATGAGTTACAAGTTCATTGTAGTTTAATATGATGCCAGGCCATCTTTTCCACTTATAACGGCTTCAGTTTTTCTAGAAAGGCTTTCCCCAACATTTAGGTGTATGTTGATGGGAATATTTGGCTTTTTGTTCAAAACTGCTTTTGTAAGGTCAGACACTGATGCTGGATGAGAGCAGTCATCCAACACTTTGCATTTCACCTTGTGGTGTAAGGCTTTGATACAGCAGCTTATTCACAGACATCCATTGGATGAAGCCCCATACACACTGTTTCTGTAGAAGTCTGCAGATATAGACTCTGCAAAAATTTACCATTCTGTGCACTGTGCACCAGTTTGTGATTTAAATGCTCTCATTTAAGTTGTTTCCCCTTTGTTATAATACTAACAATTAACTGTAGAATATTTAGTTGCAAAAAACTTTCACATCTGGACATTTTGGACGGGTGGCATCTGACCATGGCACCATGCAGGAATTCTTAGAGCTGCTCGGAGCAGTGACTCGTTCTTTCACAAATGTCTGTGTCCACAGCCTGCATGTCTATCTGGGTTTACACAGCTGTGGCCACTGAAGTGATTAGAACACCCAATTTAAAGCGAATGAATCTGTGAGCCAAAAACTGCTGGTAATGTAGTTTATGTGAAATCAGGTTGTCATGAGTGTGACAGCTTTGAGGTGTTGGTGTAGCATCTGCCAACAGAGTGAGTCAGCATTTGAAGGATGTGGGAAAAATGCTGCTAAACTGTGTTTTTAACCGTTTGTCTCCTTAGGTTTTATATATCGTCTTTAAAAAGTATTGCTCCCCCTTTAGCTTCCTGAAATTTCATCATCAAACAACAAACATCGTTTAGTTGTACTGCAGCTTTACTAGACAAAACCAACAAAAAGTAGATCATAATTAATAGAAGAAAACAAATACATAGTTTTTGTTCTTTGCAGGTAAATGTCTTCAAAATTTGACGTGTGTATGTATAATTAGCTCCGTTTGTTTTAGTTACAAAACCTTATACGTAGCATTACTAACCTGCACATCAACCTCACTTTTTTTGTAATCTTTCGCCACGGTTTCTAGAAAGAGCAGTAATTAAAAAGTTAAGAAAAGCTGGAAAACTGGACC